CCCTTTAATGCATCTGACATTAAAAGTACAGAACATTTCTCCTGTACAGTTTTGTAAATTATAAACTGCAGCTAAAATTAAACGGGCTGTACTCAGTGCACACATCGCAGGCATGCTGCAGACAGCCATTACAACTTGCTTCGCTTCACTTTAACCTTCGCTTTAGTTCAAGTATGCGATAGAAGAAAGCCATAATTAAGATGAATGTTTTTTTTTAGTTCTTGCAGACAAGACTGACATATGCTGACAACTTTCTGTAGCAGTTCTCCAAATGAGACATATTTAAAGATGTTACATCTCCCTGCAAGTTCATGATAACCAGTCCATGACAGCAGGACAGAGAGAGAGAGAGAGAGAGAGAGAGAGAGAGAGAGAGATGGACACAGGGAAGAAAACATGCATTGCACAAGTACGTAAGCAAATGATGCTGTACACCGGAGGCGGCCCCACTGAGAAAGATAATATTAGCTGATGCATGGGGCCGGGTAATTGGTGCTGGTTGCACTTGCCTTACAGAGGTAGTGAGACCTAGTGCAAGGCCATAGCCAGAGAAAGACACAGGCTTATTAACACCACATGTTGTCTTGCGAACGCCCCACCTTCAGTGGGACCCAATTAGACAACGAAAGACGTAAGCAGATACACAAAGCTTTGCAACAACTCAGCCTAGTGATGGAGAGGACGTATCAAGGGACAATCATGAAGGTATATTTTATATAGGCAAAAACAAAAATAGATTGATCATGCTATACCTGTGACATAGCTTTAGGTGGCAAAAACCAGGTGTGCTTTTAGGACACCTTGCCTCACCTTATTTCCCATAGCAGAACCTGTCATATACTTTTCAAAACCCTACTCATAATTCCAACTCTTGGCATGAAGCAGGCTGTGAATGTAAGTCATGACCTTCTATCAATATACTCTTTTCAACTGCCAAAATTTTGGAATGCTTCTCAAAAGCATTGCATCTTGGCTGTCAAAGCAAAATGATCAACTATTGTTGACTAGTATAGAATACATTATTTAAAGCCTGCTAAAATCTACATATACGTGCTCCTTTATCCAGCTACAGATCATGAATTTCAGTAATGATATAACAGAGATATATTGGTTTTAATTCGTACTTTACCCAGTCCATAAGATAGAAGATGAGCATACATAGAGGACACTGGACCACTTTCTTCTTCGCTTTCACTGTCTTGGCAGCATCTTCATTTGAAATAAAAAACCAAACTCTCATTCATGTTACAGACTGAAACCAGGCTAAAACCGTGAGCACTTACACAAGGAGGGATCACAGGAGGGGTCACAGAATGGAAGATGCATTGCTGCTGCAAACAAATTAAGTTGGTCATTGGTTAGTTATTTGTACTACATGCAACATAGATGTAATCTGATATCTTAAAGAGCATACTGTGCATATCTGCCTCAGTCACTAGGGTGACTAGACTGAATGATCTAAAAATAACTGCTGTAAGACAATTACAACCATTTGACCTTTGTTTACTTTTTATGAAGGTGCTCATGACAGGATAGAATAAGTCAGAAGTTTAATATTTTAGCAATGTCACACATCTGTACTGTGACACAGGTCCGCTTTCAGCAGTTCGAGAATGTCTGGAGCAGAGGCAGCACCTGTCTATACGTCAGTTAGAACGGAAAGCCCCTAGTGCTGACAGCCTTGAGGACACGTCATTATGCTGTGGGTCTATGTGTGTGATCCTGTGTGTGTATATGTCGATATTGTACAAAAACAAAGTATACAGGCCAGGGGCATAGCCACAGGTAGGCCTACCCAAAACACTTATTACACCACATTTTTAAAATAATTTAATCTGATTTGTTCTCTGTGAGTGCTGTAACTGTATTATGGCCAATCAAAATCATTACACTCTCTGACAAGCTCCACCTTATTTTCCTCAGGCCTACATTTACTGCTTAGCAACTGTTGCTATCCACCATTGCATCAAGCCTTCAGTGTGTTATCAGGGCCCATTATGTCCATAACTAGCAATAGGAGGACACTGAGGTCCTCTGTATTTTCTTAAGTGTTTTTATGAGATTCAATTGTAGAAAGAGTAAAGAGTCTACACAATGAACTGCTGTGGTTTGGCCGTAGACTGGAATGCCTGCTATGTTTATCTCTGTACAAGATGCTACACTGACATTATCCAGAGTGACACTGACTTCCGAGATGCTCAAGTATGCATCACACATAAGTTACTATAGGCTAACATGCACCATAGCTATGAAAGAAATGTGAGAGTTTGTGAGAGTCATTAACAGGTTATGCCTGTAAATTTCAAACCCCATAACTCACCCTTTTATTTGGACCACTCGTAACATGGCTAGATAAATCAGCCTGCTTTAGTCTAGTTCCAGTAGCTGCTCAGTTTAGGTTAATGTGACAAGCTCCTTGGCTGTCTATATTAGAATGAGAAATGAATGGTAGTTAAAAATGTTAGTGCTATGTTACCAACACGTGGTACAACAAGCATAAGAAAATTCATTGTTAACATTCATTGTCACATTGGTGGCAGAGTATCATGTACCATAATTCAGAAACCAGCAGGTACATAAGATTGTACTTTGTGTTGTTAACTATATGAGTAGCCTGCCTTCCCGTTAGCTGTTGCTGGTATAGACAGACTTTTGTAGCATGTTTTTAATGCATGCTTTTACAGCAATCAGCGAGGACCAGGATGTTACAACACTGCGGTACTTGGGAATTTTGGCATTCAGCTTAGTTGTTAATCTGAAGGCTCATTATCCAGTGTCTTCCATGAATTATTCACTACTATAGCTACTATGAAACTAGCATGTAAAGTATGTAGTTATGAGAGTGAAGAATGGATGTCTGAATCTGTTGCCAGGCCTTTAGTGTTTAAGGATTCTAACATCACAGCGACCTTCAGCATTGCTGCTTACTTTTTATGAGTTACACAGTGTTGTCAAGCATTTGATTAGTATTATAGTAGTGACGATGACAATATTTGTTTTAGAAATCCTATTAGACATTTCTGCTTATAAGAGCTTTAAAAATAACTAAAGTTTGGGAGGCGGACCATGCCCACATCTCCTCCTTCCAATCTAATGTCCTATAAGTTTCTTTCCCTACCTTCTGTTATCTGTCACAAAGCCCATCACCTCCTCATCGCCTCCCTTTCCCTCAAACCTTATTCTCTGTCCTGTCTGTTCATCACCCAGAACTCTAGCCCAAGTTCTCAGAGTTCTCTCCCTTCCTAAATTCATTCAGTACCCCATCATACTATGACCACTTACTGAACTAGCAATTTTTTTTTAATTCAAACAGCATTAAAAATGTTTTGAATTAGTTCTGAGTAAGCAAACACATTAATGTATTATAATCAGTTCTCAAAATTTACATATAAAAAGTGCTGTTGTGAACTGTTTTTGAGAAGCAAAACATCCTAACATATGCTCCCACACATAAACATGCCTACAGGACTGTGCAAAAGTCAGAGACCATCCTTCATTCAATTCATTTTCAGTCAAAATGGCCATCAAGTACAAGTTACTAATTTTTCAGCATCAGGAAAAAAGCAGAAAACACATATTAAACAGAAAATGATATAATATAAATGATATATAATAACAACAACTAAATATAATACCATTTTTTCAGTATAATGTGTTCACCCTTTGCATTTATTAAAGCTTCCATTTCATTTCCATTTCCGAGAGACTAGCTTTCAGTTTTCCAAAGAAATCTGCAGGGATTTTTTTCCCCACCTCCCAAGTTCAGTCTTAGAAGTTGGTTGTATTCTCTGCTTCTTAACATCCAAGTAATCTTGAACACATTCAATGATGTGGAGGTTTGGACTCTGGGATGGTCAGTCTATTGTCCTTAGAACACCAGCAGCTTCTTTGTTTGATTTGTAAATGTATTTTCTTTTCTCAGTAAGAGCCTCTTGACGTCTACACATTCTTTCAGACTCATAGTGCTGAGTTGTCTTCTCATAGTGGAAGGATGGACACCTGTGAATGTTTTCAGATCTGAAGCAAGAGTGGAGCTTGATTTTCTCTCTCTCAAAGATGAAAGCTTTAAGTGCTGTTTATCTGATGGTGAAGTAACATTTTCTCTAAATCTTTTAATATATTTTTAACTAAAGTTTTGGAAACTACTGTTTTTCACTTATTTTCCTTTGACTCTCCCTTTCCTTATGCAGATAAGATTATATCTTATATCTAATCTCATCACAGGTATCTCCTGAAATGACTAACTTGTACTTCATGTCAATTTGACTGGTTATTAAATAAATGAAGGGTAGTCTCTGATTTTTTTACAGTACTGTACACCCCTTCTTAAAAAAGTACCAACACTCTTCAGAGGTCCCTGAGAAGTGCTTCTACACTTATTCCATTACAGAAAAAAGGAAAGAAAAGTTTAGCATGGGCTTTGCCAAAATCTTTAGCCATGGGACACACAGAAGCAACGTGTGATGAGAAAGAGAGGGAGAATGGGTGCAATGGAGGGAGGCAGAGGAAGGACAGGAAGGAGAGTGAGAAAAAGAGATTGTGACAGACAGAGAAATGGAGCAATGCAGAAGGCCAGAGAGAGGGAGACAAGAGGGAGATAGGCAGTGAAAATGGGAGCTGTATAGCAAGGGTAATCTGCTAGAGGGATCCTGCAGGGTTCAAGCTCTTAGCCATGCCTGTTGACAGCGGGGAACACGGGTCGACTGTGTTTGCACGGGCCAAACAGAGCCAAGCTGACCTAAGGGAGACATAATCTATCTACCAGTCAAGATTGCAGCTCTAAAAGCACTTAAAGCAAACTACTGTACTGTAGCGCTTTAAACCCTGTGATTTCAAAGCTTGTGCTTTCAGTATCCTGAACCTGTTCTTAAATTCGATTGTCTGATTGGACATCAAACTTATCAGCTTGTACATCACAGCACAACAGCAACAGTCCTCTTTCCAAGCGTGATGAAACTTCAATAGTGGGATGTAATAAAAAAAGCAGCAAAGACACTTACCACCAGATTCCCGATCACCATGACCAGCATGAAGACCAGGATGCAGAGCGGCTGTCCAGCCACTTCCATACAATCCCACATGGTCTCGATCCATTCTCCACACAGCACCCGGAACACAATGAGGAAGGAGTGGAAGAAGTCCTTCATGTGCCACCGGGGCAGCGTACAATCCTTGGAGATCTTGCACACACACTGCTCATAATTCTTGCCGAACAGCTGCATGCCCACCACAGCGAATATGAAGACGATGATGGCCAGAACCAGAGTGAGGTTTCCTAAGGCACCCACAGAGTTCCCAATGATCTTGATCAGTGTGTTCAGGGTGGGCCACGACTTAGCCAGCTTGAAGACTCTCAGCTGTGGGAGAAAAGGATGATAGGGGTAAAATTCTAAGAGTAAATCAGTAATAATCAGTAATAACACAATGCGCAGTTGTCTTAAAGGGGACCAGTCACACTGTGACATAGTCTTGCTCAATTTTCAAGCTTTCTGAATAAACAAACAACAAAAATCATGACATTTTGAGTATAGTTCTACAGATAATAAACTGTTTTAACCCAGAACCTATGAAGATTCCTACATCAGTGTGCAAATTCACTCAGAATCTACAAATTCTGTGGAATTAATAAACATTTTTACTTAGTCAGTATGCCAACATGTGCAGGAAGAAAAGCTCTCACACTCCTGAGCTAACAGTTCAAAAAGTTGCTGCTGCTATAAATAACCTGAACTCTGATGAAACACATTTAAGAAAAAATTTGCGTGCATTCAAAAAACTTCAAAACAGGAGAATTCAAGACGTTTTTAAGGCTTGCACTTTTGAACCAGCATGAAATCCAGACTGGAACTCGGTATTTCCATGGATACTTGACAGAAACAGATACTGAGCTAACTCTACTTTAGCTGGCAGAAAGAGTGCCCACTCTTACAACATTACAAAATGTTTGTCTCAGCTTAGTAAAGTTACATAAAATATACTGAGGTAAATTAGTTTTGCGTTAAAAAAGGAGGCTTCACAGACTCCATTGTGCTTTTTCCTCTCGTACTGCAGTTGCCATCATCGCTCCTCTCTTGCTTCCAACATGAACTTCCATTAATAATTCTATAGTCTATGGACACTTCCGGAATCAACTCTGAAAACGTAAATGCTTTGCTAGATTCTACCACGTTACAAAATATGTGGTCTGCTCCAGCCACTACTACATACAGAACGTGTGCTTGGTTGTTAAGACTGTGTTTTTGTTGTGAGTTTGAAAGATATGCGTTAGAGGATGGTTGTGGTTAGACTGTTTCTGAGCTGAGACTGTTTCTGAGTGTTCTGTCCATTTGAAACATGACCAAAAACATCACCCATCTTTTTCCCTGACTTCTTTCTCTGTAATAGCTTTGACGGTAAATACTGTGTTTTTTTAAACATCTGGCCTGATGCAGCAACTTCTAACATTAAACGACAGCCAAACGTGATTGTTCCCCTTTAATCAATCTTTTTACTACTTTTAATAAATGTTGTGACCCAAATAATTGTTAAAAGCCTAGCTTTCCTCTATTACGTTAGTCAATACTTTTCTATTCATTAACTAATTTTACATTTTACATTGTAAAATGTACAGTCCTTTAGACTAATTACACATACAAAACTCCTCAAATGAGTCCGAGCAGTTATTTTCCCTAAAAAGATTTGAGCAATCTCAGCTATCTGGGCTTTATGGTGTAGGCTGCCCAGGTTAACAGGGAGGATATGTCCGTCTGTACTCTAACTATAAAACAAAGCCATTAAGAGAGAGACATTACCAGTCTAAAGGAACGCAGGACGGAAAGGCCTTCCACGTTAGAAAGGCCGAGCTCCATCAAGCTGAGACAAACAATAAAGCTGTCAAAGATGTTCCATCCCTGTTGGAAGTAATAGTACGGGTCCAGTGCAATGATCTTGAGGACCATCTCTGCTGTGAAGATTCCTGTGAAGACCTGCGTGGAAACAAAAGAGGCAAGTCTTTCTCAGACATTTTTGGAGCACTGGTTGAATTGAAACTGATTCAGGAATGATTTATTTAAGTTCACATTTTGAGTTTACACACTTCATCTTCATTTCATATTTAAGGAAAAGAATTCATCCTGGAGACTGTACTACTGCCTGTTTTAGACCTCCCCTTGTCCATGTGTATTTTAGCCAAACTGTTATTTCAGCAAATTCTTACATTTTGATATATAGTTTTGCAAAAGGCCATAACTGATTAGCCTTTTGTAACCATGGATGTCGGGGACATTGGACACCGCTAGGAAGGGCTGGTGCATTAGTGAAAGCTGCAATGTCTGTGACAGGTCTGCTGTTTGTTTGGCTCGAAGAGTGTGTCGTTCTGCTTGTTGTTGCTCAGGGACAAGCTCATGGATGTGACACGGGATACGTGACACAGGCGGTGGGGGAGGCTTGGACACTGCGCATCACAGCTGGAGCTGGCCCTTTTAAAGCTGGTTAGCCCTGTCACTGGTCAGCGCCCTGTGAAGCTTCGCAGGCTTCGATATTATATCATCTCTGTGCATGCTCAGCTGCTTGTTTTTTACCGTGCCTCACATCTTGTAATCACCGCTTTAATCTGAACATTAACATGGAGACCTGGCAAAAAGGGATCTCTTCCCACTTCTTTGAAGTCAGTTTCCCTTTTCAAACCTCACAGCACAAATAATCATCCTCTCTAGTATATAATGACTCATTTTGGTCTCAGCAAGGATGAGATGTTAATACAGATATCATATTTACACAATATTCTGGTTTCACCAGGGAAAATATGTTAATAGAGACACTGTATTCACATAATATTTTGAATTCACCAAGGGGAACATGTTAATATAGACATCCTATTCACAGAATATTTTTGGCTCAATAAGGACGTCTTTTCTGTCACATATTCTATATTCACACTTTATTTTGGATTCACCGAGGACGAGATGTCAAGATATACACCTAAACAACACAACATTCTGGTTTCACCAAGGGCAACATGTTAATATAGACATCCTATTCACAGAATATTATGGTTTCACCAAGGACGTGTCTTTGCTGTCACCATATTCACACTTTATTTTGGATTCTCCAAGGAAGAGATGTTAATATAGACACATAAATAATGCAATATTCTGGTTTCACCAAGGATAAGATGCTAATACAGACACCATATTTACACATTATTTTGGTTTCACCAAGGACAAGGTGTTAATACAGACACTCTATTCACACTAAAGCATATTTGCCCCGCTCACTCATAACTCGTGGCCCTGTGCCGCCCATCTTGTTTTGAAGGGTGTAAACATCATTGATGCTTACTGCACTTGAAACCTATAGCAGCTCAGCATAGTGCTTAAGTAAGCAAGATGTATGAGCACACAGATTCACTGTGACTGGGATTGGAACACCGTCCTCCATCGCCTCGAGTGGGCCACTGTCAACACTCACCTTTCAATAAAAAGGAGCTGCAGTCTCATTTCCATCTCCACAGAGTAATTAGCTCAGCATACTGCTCATTAGCCTTGATAGGCTGCTGCCAAATGCTATTAGAACACTACACCGAATGGAGGGGGACGTCCTGATTATTTAGAGATTTCTAATAGAATTTTCATGTTACCACAGGGCATTCCGAAGTACAACAGCCTAGTGTCTATCACAAAACCCTGTGATGTAACCGACTCTCTTTGATAAGACATGGCCCTAAACGCAGAGTACAAGAGAGAGTAGAAAGAGACGGACTCAAATGAGACAATGAACTATAACACATTTTGAAATGCTATATATCCCTGAACAAGCAGTTTGGCATAAACAAATGCTTCAAACAGTATTCACTGGTTTAATAGATCTGATTCTCATGTTACTCTAATGGGCCTCTAATAGTAGTCTTCAGTTATTATCAGCCTTTTTTTTACTTACAGTACTATCTGTACAAATAAAAGTGCTGTCCAATGACCAATCCATTCATTTTCCTTGTTGTATATTAATTTTAATTTTAAACACATTGCTGTTGTGTTATTGTTTTGCTATCTGATGTCGACAAGGATGGGTTCCACTTTTGAGTCTTGCTTCCTCTCAAGGTTCCTTTTTCTTGCTCTTAGGGAGTTTTTCTTTGTCACTGTCCCCCTTGGCTTGTTTATTTAGCTCTTGGACCTGGATTTTCTAGAAAAACTCTTTCGTGACAAGCCCTGTTGTATAAAGCGCAATACAAATAAATCTTGAACTGAATCTTTAATACTGTGTGGGGGGCAGCAGGCAGTTGAAAAAACTGATAATTGCGTCTGCGAAATCTTCACCCATCCGTGACCTGTAAACAAGCATCAGTTTAACATGCTTTCCAAACGGGTAAGCTTATAAGCAACGTCTGACCTCAGATCCTCAGACACAACCAAAGGAAGGTTCCTCCAGTCTCAGAGGCTGGTGAAACAAGATGATCTGCCAAAGTGCAAACCATAACACGCATGACTCATCGTAATGCTGACTCAAGGCTGCTTACCCATCTCTCTCTCTCTTTTTTCTCTTCCAGGAGACAGACTCTCAGACTCGTTCAAATGCTTTACGGTACAAGCACACAGCAAAGGAAGCCGCCTCTAATATGTTCTGTGCATCCCACGTTTTGGGCGCAGGGTATTCAGGGGGCATGGGTGGGTGTTTTGCCACACTTTACATGCACAAGTCTGAGTGAGGATGGCTGAAGTGTGGGGAGTTAAGCAGTGGCAGTAGAGGAGGAGAGGAGATGCTCTGTGACATTCTCGCTGTGGGATGCAGTGCGCCGCCAACCATGAGGCATCACCACGGCTGTCTACAACAGTCAACGTTGTCCACTCTGGCAGACTAGACATGAGGGTTTTGAGGAGAGTTCGGCCTGCATGAGGATAACCCCACAAATGGGGAAAGCTAGGGTGATGCAAAAACACACAGGCACTTTAACCATGTGTAAATCTGATCATCTCACAACTGAAGCAACTATATTTCATTACAATCTGTATTTCTGCAGCATTTAAGAAATACCAAAAATACTAATTTTATGACTTGAGCATTTGAGTAGTTAAACACTACATGATGCATCATGTCAAAAAGTTGATGAATAATACTTCTATCATTTCTAATTTTCTCTATATATACACAGAGATTTGCAAGGCTGTTTCCTGCTCTGTTGAGAATGTGAGTAAAACAACAAATGCTTACAGAAAGTCAAAAGGATAAATCAAAGGTAAATATGTATATGTAAAAATATATCAATCATTTTTTAGGATTTTTCAAAACCCAACAGAAATATATTTATTTCGGTGTGATTAGTCAATTCAGATCCATTCATATCTAATGGCATTTTCTAAAAGTTAGCAATTTTAACGAAGGCTTACTCCTCCACACTTAGCACAACCATGTCTTGTAATGTGCCACTGAAAAGCTTGTTTCATGTAGAATCTAACTTGAATATTTCAATATTTTTATTGTCTTTGTACTAATGACAGCATCCTCACAAATTGTGCATGTTTTCCGAAACTCACAGTTGGAAATGCAGTTCTGCGGCCAAATTTGTTGTCACAAAAAAATGGTTTTCTCTACATTCAGGACCAAAAATCTCTACATTCCCCACAAAAATCTCTGCATTCCTGAAAACGTATATGTCCATTTCTAACCCTATACTGAAATATATTACTGAAGGATTTCTAAAGATATTACTCAAAGCTGGATTTATGCTAGATGGTGTACTAAAATGGCCTGAAAAACATTTTAAATGATTAAATGACATAATGACATGCATAGTGTTTTTATATATTATTAAACAATTAAACAAGATTACAGTAATCTGTCCTGTAAATTTTTCTCTGGAGTGTGTCTTCACAATGAATCTTTTTTAGTTCTACATCATCCATTTCGATTTTTTTGTTTTTAACAATGTATGCATATTTAAGTAGATAACATAGCTGGTGTCTCATTTGCACGTTCCATACAAAAAAATACTAGTAAGAATATCAGTAAGCAACTAGTAAAGATACATTGTAATATCTATTGTTTAAAGAAGTACTCTATTCATCTGTAGCACCTCAGCAGTGTAGCAAAATAACAGTTTTAACTTCAAAGAGTTAAATGTTCATTTTGTGGAACAGCCACAAATCCTGAACACAAGGCGACTGTGTGACAGGGCTCTGCGCTGAAGTGTCGTTGCCTGTGGGCAATTGACAGTACTGTGCTTATACAAAGCAGCCATGGCCAACACTGCCTTTCCACTGGTGCTGAGATGGAGGTGAGACAGAGTCGATAATAGCCTCAGTCATGCAAACGCGACCACTACGACCAGCGTGGGAGGAGGCATGTATTTTCACAGACGGGCTCTGTCACCCAATACATTCCCTCGACCCCACTGCTGAAGGCGAGCTGTGCCGCATCTACACCTCGATAAACACCAGCCAACGTGTTCAAATGCCGGGGCTCACCAAGTGGAGAGACGCATATTGATTTGAGCACTGTCGTCCTGACATGACTCTCTCTGAGACATAATACAGGCCGACTACTCACAACATACACTGGCGCACAGCTTGAGTGTGATGCTTAGAACATGCTGACATGAATGTATGTTGTTGCTGTTTGCTATGCATTGCATAATGTGTCACACATAGAGGGCGGCCCAACTTAATAACATACTCAACTATTTTTCAACACAAGGTCTCCTGTGAAACCTTTGTCACCATCTAAAAGCATTCTTCTGCAGCATGTGCTTTACAAGCTATGCAGCAAAATCTGGTGTATATTTTCATTATTAGAGAAAAATATTTGTGTTTAGCTGTCTTATATATTTCTGTTAAATAGAAACGTGTTTGAGACTCAAACCTTTTTGAAATTCTCTCAGCTGACCCTTCTTTCTAGACAAACATTTTACTTCGTACAAAAAATGCCTTACCGGGGAGCAAGCCAGTCTCTTACAATCACTTTGTCTTCAGTAACGAACAACAGTCTTCAGAAATGCTGCTTTTGCATGTTGCAAGCAGTGTAGAGCAGGATATAATGAGCAGGCTGCTGGAAAAGTGGGCTTGCCCTCTTGACATGACAAGTGAGGAGACAGGCAGACGCTGAAAAATGTGTTTTCACCACCAATCTGTCTAACAAAACCGCTTGCCTAGATATTGTTCAGGTGCAGTGTTCCTGCGACTGTCCCTCCCCATGCAGTTTATGCGAATATGCTAATGAGCTAACCATCTCCCACTCACCAGGTTGCCCACGGACAGCATCCTGTTGAACTCGTCTGTCATGGGGTAATGCTCCAGAGCCATGAAGAGCGTGTTGAGAACGATGCATATGGTGATAGCCAGGTCCAGAAAGGGATCCATCACCATGAACTTGACCCACTCTTTGAGCTTTAGCCAGCCAGGGGAGCATGTCCACACCAAGTACTTGTGGGCAAAGGCGTACCAGCAGGGATGACATTTCTGCTGGGCTTCCTCCAACTCTGTACGCATATAACAACATGCTTTGATTATTAAAGCATTTAAGCTATTAATTTTTCAGGAGATATTTTTGAGGTGATTACACATATAAGATAATCCTCTTACATAAGGAAGATGGGTGTCAAAGGAAAATAAGACAAAAAAACTATTAATTTTTTGAACAGGAGTTTAAATAATTGTTAAAAGATACAGAGAAAATGGGATTCCTGACAACTGTGTAAGACCTGATCAACCACCAAAACTGTCACCATCAGATAAACAGTACTTAAAGCTTTCATCTTTGAGAGAAAATTAAGCTCCACTGTTGCTTTAGATCTGAAAAAAAAAATCCACAGGTGTTTCTGTCCATCCTTCCACTGTGAGAAGATAACTCAACACTATGAGTCTGAAAGCATGTGTAGCTGTTAAGAAACCCTCAATGAGAGAAAGAAAACGGACAAAAAAAGAAAACATTTGCAAATCACACAAAGAAGCTGCAGGTGTTCTGAGAAGATTGAACTGACCACCCCAGAGTCCAGACCTCAACATCACAGAATTTGTTTGGGATTACTGCGAGAAGCAGATAATGCAACCAACTGAACTTTGGAGCTGTGGGAAAGTTTTCATGCAGATCATGTTCTTAATGCTGAAAAAAGAATAAATGAATGAACATGACTCTATGACCATTGTAACTGGAAAGTAAATAAGTAAAAGATGGTGTCTGAATGGCACACAGTACTATGTGTAGAAAAGTTCTCTGGAGCAAAAGCAGGTAATACTTCATCATTTCTGTCACGGAGTTTGGACTATTGGACTACATGCCCCAAAACGGCAAAGTACATGAAAGGTTTTGGCACAGAGCTATGTTCTGTTCTACTTTGCCAACAAGTGCCTTCCCTGAGAATGTTTGGCTATAAAGCCTGGGTAAGTGGGACAGTCATACCCCATCAATTTTTCACATTACTGTTAGTCATGCCAAACAGAACTGAGAATAGGCATGACTTGCTATCCATGGCTGCTGCTTGGTGGAAAACACCTTTGATGATGCTGTAACGAAATTCTACATTACTTCCAGATTAGCATGAAAACTAATCTTATGCTGTAGAAAACTGCATATGAGATGTAGGTTAAAGGAAAAGGTTAGCATTTCATTTTTTCCACCCACCCTAAGTCAGACACAAAATGTGTCAAGTAGTGAGTTGGGGCGGGCTGTGCAGTGTGTCGGGGGGAACTGCGGCAGATGCATCCGGTTCTAATGAGGAATGTGATAAAGACGGACAGCAGGTCCATTTCCTTGACTTGGGAGGACTAATGTGCGAGCTAACTCCTCAGATGTGTTTGTGGTAGTGTCATTCTCCACTGGGAGTGCAGCCACCCTGTCAGACCTCATTTCATCCACTCCAAGGGAAATTTACCAACCAACAGACCTCCTGTGAACACCGTGGCCATCTTAGTTCTGCTCAGAACCCAAACCTGTGTGGAAACGTTTGCTTCTTCTGGTCTTTTCAACTTCACTACTCTAACTGTAGCTACCTGCCAAGATTCAAGAGAACAGCAGTATTGTAATAATCGGGATGATGGGTATAAGTAAGACTTGCAACATAGTAGAGTGCTGTGCACAAGTCAGAGACTGCCTTTCATTTAATTACATATCTGGCTATTTTGACTAGAAACTGAATAAATGATGCTGATTAATAAATGATTCTACTTTGCATGATCCAAATAATCCCAATTAGATAAACCAGTCCATAAAACTTTACTCCATATCTCACATATCCAGGTCTGGTGCTCTAATGCAAATTTCCTGTTTCTATTTTCTTTTCTCAGTTCTTCTCAGGGCTTCTCAATAACTACACATCCTTTCAGACTCATAGGGTTGAGTTGTCTTCTCACAGTGGAAGGATGGACAGAAAGACCTATGGATTTTTTTCAGATCTGAAGCAAGAGTGGAGCTTGATTTTCCCCTCTCTCTCAAAGATGAAAGCTTTAAGTGCTGTTTATCTGACGGTATTAGTTTTGGTGTTCTACCAGGTTTTGCACAGTTGATTGGAGTCCCACTTTCTCTGTCCTTTTAACCATTTTTTGAACTCTGGTTTTGAAAATTCCTGCTTTTTCCTGACTTTCTCCTTATGAAAGTGGATCATCTTATATCTACTTTCCTCATGAGAAAGAAATGTGTGAGGCAGCTGAGGTGTGTTTGGGTAGTAGCTTGTTTGAAGGGGAACATAATGTCAGTGACTTATTTGTGAACAGCTTTTGTAATGAGGACACAGCTGTAACTGGTTGGTTTTAAAATTGAAAGGATGGAGGAGTCAGTAGAGCACAAAAGTAAAATGGATAAATTAAATACTGACAGATTTGATGTTATACTTAGTGTTGGAGGCTTAATTTTCTGTTAAACGTGTTTCCTGCTTTTATTTCTGACATTGAAAAATAAATTACTTGTAGTTAATGGCTGGAAATAAACAAAAGGATGGTATCTGATTTTGCATTTGCAAAATATTTGCATTTGAATTTTAAATAGTAATAATAATAACAGTAGTCTTAATAGTAATATTCAACAAAAGCAGTAATCACATAGAAGGTAATACAAGTAGTTGTGTGTCAAACTCAGACCATGTTCACTACACATGGTACTATACTTGGCTTCATGGTGTCTTGCCATGTCAGCTTTTGTGTCTGTGATAATGAGGATTGGCATTTTCTCATGCTAGCGGATCTAAAATAGGCCTTCTCTGTGGTCAAATCCGTTTTGTTAGCAACTTTTCCGCTGACAAATTCACAATTTGAGACCATAGTTTTAAAAGGGAGACATATTCTAAACGTGATTTCATCTCCAAAATAGAAGTTTCTTCTTAAAGCCTCAATCAGGGCTTTGCAAATTGGATTTTGTTCCATTATATTTATAGTGTATGCACATTGATTCTTGAATATAATACCTTTTAGATGGCTCATCTGATAAGCACCACTATCGATACGGCACTGTTTGCCAAAACAAGGGAGCAGATTGGATAATGTTTTGCCCATCTTATGGTTTTCACTTGGTTTTTTTTCCACGTGCCAAGTGTAACACATGAAAGCACAGTAAGAGCTTTTTCTTAGATTCTGAGAGTATTTTAAAGTTTGAAAGAGTCTTTAATGTCACAGAACATTAGTCATTTAATACCGGCTGTCTAATAATATGAGAGAGGGAACATTCCTCCACCCCCTCTTCTTCAGCAGGGAGTAGGTGGACAGGTTTAGAAGAAGTAAGGTCTTAAAATACTGTATCTGGATCTACCACAGGTTTTAAAAATGAAACGTAACTGCAAACAGTTAAACTTTAACGGACTAAGAAGAACAGCTGGTGTTAATTCACATCACTTGGTAAAAAAGTTTATTAAAACATGTGCTGCTAAAGCAATCATGCTCTGCACTGTCTACACAATTTGCACATGGTGAATCTGACAGAAAGGCAAAAGCTAACATAATGTGGAAAAGTGGAGAAGTCAGTGTTATTTGTTGGGGAAAAGTGACCTACAGAAAGACCTCCTGATGATGTTGCAAGCAGACTGTTTCATGATTAATCAGGTTTAAGGAGGATAACACCTCTCTCTCGAAAACAACAGAGAGTGAATTCTCACAGGACTACCTTAACGTGGAACAGATGGAGATGCCCTTCTGTCCTTACATGCTCTATGCTCAGAAAAGCATGACATGAGATTTTAAATCTACCCAGAGATTTGTACAGTTAAGACTGTCTTGCAGAGCAAAAATGTGGAAGACTGATTCAGTGTTATGTACAGTGTATTGTGATGTAAAAATAAAACTGTATGTTGAATAAATAACTACATGTATTGCTTCAAATGTAAACAGTAGACAATCAAAATGCAGTTTTAACATATTAAAAATGTGCTACACTTTTTTAAACTAACGAGCCTCACAAATCGATTCGGACATAAGGCTGTGTTTCCGAAGTGGATCCAAAGTGGATCTTGGTTAGGGAATTTTACTGGGGCTAGTTCTGAGAAGTAAAATTTCCACTCAGCGTATCTTACCCTCCATGGCGTCAGTGAGGTAGCTAGCAGCACTTAGCGCCCTGTCTCGGCCCTCCTGGGACATCTGGGGGAGGAGCATGCTGCTCAGTTCGTTCAGTGAGTTTGGTCCCTGTAGAAGACAAAGGGGACTGTGGTCATGTGAACGGCACAGTTTGTAAACAACAGAAGCCTGGCAATGCCATCTTACTGTAACTTCTTCAGTGCCAGAATGTTCTTTCAACAGTTGCATTTAGATAAATTATCAGTCATTTCAAACCAAAAATAGCCATAATTCATTTTTACATTTTCCATTGACCATTTTCTATCTCTGTCCCTTAGTATTAAACAGTCTGTTCTTGTTACTGTGGTTTTAAGACTGATATATCTAAATGAGCTCTGTTGTGATTGGCTGCCCTGTATTGTGCCTCTCTTAAAAAGCACTCTGGGCTGAAATGCTCTTTATAACTTTAATGTGAATGGGTGAGGCTAAACTGCTGTAGGCGGAATAGGTGGACTTAGGTGAAAAAAAGCCTTATTTTTGTGATATTACAAAAACATTCAAAACAGGCTGTTTTTGCAACTTACGTTGCAATATATGGACTGCGTGGACCCTTTAAGTAAATTCAGGTTTTGTAAAATGAACTGTGTTTAAATTACATACTCATTCTTAAATCTTACAGATTTTTTGTCCTGCTTTGGCATTAAAATATACTACACTGAAACTATGAATACTATATTAATCTTTCCATGACACTTAATCCGCTCACTTTTTCAGTTAAAAAAGTAATAAAGTTGAACATTCTCAATGAATGGTTAGTTGGCCTGTAGCATGTGAAAATGAATTTTCCACACTTTTTTGAAATAAAGAGCATGTAAACATTGCTAAATGTTCAAAATTTCGCATTCACTCCCCAATCCCTACAGTACATATATATATATATATATATATATATATATATATATATATATATATATATATATATATATGAAAACTAAGCTGCAAAAACAGCCTGTTTTTCTGTGATCTCACAAAAATCTACCATTTTATTATATATATATATATATATATATATATATATATATATATATATATATATATTCAGTCTAATGCTCCACCCAATCACGATGAAATTATAAGGAGTGTTTCAGCCTGGACAGCTTTTTGAATGATGTACAATACAGAACAGCCAATCAGAACAGAGGCCATTTACATATATCAGTCTTCATGGCACAGTAACAAAAACAGCCTGATTAATTCTAAGGGATAAAGAGAGGTGAGAAAATGGTCAAGTTAAAATAAGTTATGACTTGGGTACATAAAACCACACAAATGCTATGAATTGATCATTGGGTGAATACAATACAAGAAAAATGTAGCATATGAGACCTTGAAGTCATTGTTTATTAATTACTGTTTTTAAAACTGATTATTTGGTTATTCGTTAAATTAATGGATAGATGGCTTGATTACTTATTTAATCAAAAGTGACCCTACAGCCATCAAAGTGCTGTCTGGTCGGTTCTAAAAACGACTACAAATGTCTTCACTGTAGCAAAACTCAAAAGCTGGGACTAAATACAATCCCACAGTCAATTCAGCCTTCACGATGATGAAACATGGTCCTGTATGTGTTTGTGTTTTGGTGGGATGATGGCTCAGTCACAAAATCAACAATCCATAAACAGTTTTAACCATGACACTGTCATTATAAAATACTGCTGTATTATTTCATTTATAGCTGTAGCCCTGCAATAACTCTGTGGGTGTCTTTTATTGACTATTACAGCTGTGGTCTCAATTATATGAGGCCTTGTCTTAAGCTATGACCCTTTGATTTTTAAAATAAGTATTTGACCCGAGGTAATCAAAGGAATGACGCAAAGTCACTTTGTCACTGCTCAAGAGAACACCCACGCATGCTGTTTTGGCAAGAGGGAAACACCAGTCATCCTTTCTCCTGTGTATGTGTGCGAGACAGACAATGTGTGTACGTGATTGTGTGCGACGAGACGCCACGACTCTTATTCAACTGTTGCTACGTTACCATGGCTGCATCGCCAAGACAACAGTGTATCCTCCCCCCCATTCCCCCTCACTCATTTCTGTCAGATAGGGATGAGGTTGTCAGGTCTCTTGAGAGTGCCCGATTAACCCATGAGCCTTTCAAGACCTTCCCCTTAGAGCAAGAACAAATTCGCATGCATTTACAGCTTCCCTTACAACAAATCCTATGTACCTTTTAAAATGGCATAGTAAAGAAATGTTTCGTGTCTTGTTGATTGTCATCATATTTACATTATTAAGCAGCCACTATATGCATCTCCTGATCTGAATTCATACATATACAATCATATTAGTTCACTCTGTTCACAACACGTGTTGGTTGCATAAGCTAGCTGTTAATACGCCACGCGTATGTCTGCGTTGCAAAGAAATAACTGTATGGATATGAATGCACCACAGCGCAATATATCAAGGGAGGCTTTGTATAGGCTGTGATTAAGCACTGTGTCATTGAGTGCATTGACCAAGCAGGTTCAGGGAAGTAAGCTCTTGTTTCTCTAGAAGAACCCGTTATACTCTCTGCTCAACCGTTCACGCTGAGGGTATCGCTGAGTTCATACTTTGTTTTTTCAATACATGTAATAATGTACATTTGCAAAGATAACAGCCCATTCATTATTCAACAGCTGGATACAATAAATGACTCAGAATATTGTCAGGAAAAGAAAATACAGTCAGAATACAGTCAAGAAAAATTACAAAGGTAAATATATTTGTATATGGAGTAGAATCAGATTCCTAAGGGTTCTAAAGGAAGTCAACATATTAAATGAAAGAAAAAAGGTCTTGGGTACATCAGACCATAAAGCAAATTTATTTATTATTTATATTTTTATAAAATAGTGACAAATACATTATGATAAAATATACCAGTGTTAAATAAAGCATTTAATGTATTACTAATAATGCACAATTATTTTGCCAAGCAATGTAATTTGTCAAAAGTAGGCTATGCTTGCCAAGCAACATAAAGGTTAACTGTTTAATGAAGAGCACAATGTTTTTAAAAACTTGTCCTATTAATGCCAAATTCAGCTGATATCTGTTGTCATTCAGTGCTGTGCCAAAGTTAGAGTTTGTCCTTCATTTATTAACTTTCCAGTCAAAATGCCCCCCCCACCCCCACACCTCAACATCACTGAATGTGTACATGGTTTGTGAGAAGCAGAAAATACAACAAACTTCTAAAACTGGACTTTGTGTGAAAAAATATCCCTGCAGATTTCTTTCAAAAAACTGAAAACAAGTCTCCCGAAAATAGTGAAAGCTATGATAAAGGTAAAGAATGGACACATAAAATACTGAAAAATTTTATATTATATTTAGTCATTGAGGCTTCTGTGTAATTTTCCATTAAATATGTGTCTCCTTCTTGTCACTGAAGAACTAGTGGCTTGTACTTAATGCCTGTTTTGACTGGAAACTGAAAAAATAAAGCATGGTCTCTGATATTTGCACAGCATTCTGTACGTGTACATCAAACTTCAAACAAGCCTCTGCCGATCAAGTTTTAGAACTGTTACTATCTGTTTTATAATAGTTTTCTGTCGATTGAATTTGGAGTGGAGTGTATAAACCTGTCTGAATTTCAGAAAATGTATCCATGTCTAGCTACAGTGTGGAACACAGTGTTTTAAATATATCCAGTTCTATTTCCAATCAAAAATAACAATATTAGTCATTTGTTATTCTCTTTCCAGTTCATTCCATTGTTATGGCTTTACACCACACCCGGGATACAGAGAGAGTACGCACTTAGACCTGTACCATTTGTAAAAAAGCATATCGTTACTCACACTTTCTTCTTTGACCTTCTCCATGGTGCATGTGGGTAATGGGAGAGGGCTCAGCGGTCCAGGGCCTGAGATGCCGTTCTGATCCATGGCCACAAACAGCTTCCCATTGATATTGAGGCTGGGGAAGAAGACCTGGGAGCCGTGGCTGCCTGTGCTTTGAGCACTAGTCCGTCGCCTGTTCCAGGGAAGGACGAGAGAGCCAGCCCGACTGTCCGAATCCCCGTAAATGCTGAACTCGTCGTCAGCATCAGCTTCTGAATCCTTATTCCGCGGCCGGAAATTGAAGATACTGACCTGGCTTCCTCGTCTGGTCCGCGAAGACAGAGTGCGCACCAGCAGAGCATGTGTTTGCTGGGGGAACAATAAACAATCCAGAATAATCTGCACTTGTTCTTAAAATGTATGCTTTTGATTTCATTCTCTACTTCTTTTCCACATAAAATAAAATGCATTTCGTCAATTACTGATTACAATTATTGCAAAGCGGATTTATTCCTATGAGAATGTTGCTGATTTGATTGTCATTTCAATACATCAAAACTCATTAGTATAGTTGAAATAAAAACATTTAATATGTAAAACTGCAACTCATCCTATTTTTACTGAAATATTTTGTCACATTTTCTTTTCATAGGAGCAGTCAGCTTAAGCAACTGGACAAAGCTGTACCTTTACTCCCTCCATGGTATCTAGCTTTGGTGTTTTCTCGTCGCTATCGTTCTCTGCCTCCTCTGAAAGAGGCCTCAGGCTTTTCTTCCTGCCCTTGTGCTCTTTGTCGTCTTGTGCAGCCGAGGGAGACAGGTCAGGAACCAACACTGACTCAGTTTCCTGAGCTTTCTGAGCTGCCTGTAAGACACAGGGTGAAAAAGGAGGCGAATCGTTGTCGGTTTGTATCAAAATTGAGAAAACAAAGGCTTATGAACACAAATGCAAGTAAGTGAAAGTGGATGAGGATCATGTTTCTTTTATGCTGCTTGGATTGTTATGAAGTGCTTGTATGAAGTAGTACTGCAGGAAAAATACTGACAAGATTATGTTCCAAGTCACTTGAGTTCAATCCCTGCATACTGTCCCACTCATCACAAACAGTCGTAGTCGTAATCAGTAAAAAAAACTGTTGTTGAGTCATATAAACCTCAAAGAAAGCTGTCATTAAATGAATGTCATTAATGATTTAATAAATCATGCTTAAAGGGGAATTTTATATATTTTTTTTAAATATCTGCATAATTCAGTTGTTGAGACAAATAGGTTTTCAGACAAAAACGACTTTCAGAGTGGTTCTATGAAATGGTGCACTGTAGGGAAATTTACTGACTCTGTTGTCTTTACAGTGGTGATCATAGGAACCATGGGTTGTAATGTCTATGTTGCAAATATAACTATTTTATTTATGATCCACAACCATCAATTAACCTACACCAGGATTATTATAGTTTTGAAATTTTCATTAGTTTGTATTTGATTTTTTTTTTTTATTGCAGTTTATCTTCAGTTAGTCTTATAGGTGCTTAAGCAGTTTTGGAAAGTAATAGTTTTGGTTTAGTTTTTATTTAGTTTCAGTTTTTAGTGAAATCTGCGATAGGAGGCAGCGTAAAATTAAAACAACAGTAGACTGAGCTCGGCTCGGCTCGGCTCGGCTCAGCTCGGCTCCAGCTTTCCTTAAAGATGGCTAAAAAAACAAAAACTAGAGGTTTTTCTCGGTAATTCTGTTTAGTTTTAGTTAGTTTTGCAGTAGACATTATAGTTTTGATTTCGTTTTGGTGTTACTGTGTTGTTATTTTTATGACGCTTCATGAGCTTTTATCACTGCTAGTTTTTGCTTTAGTAATACTTTTAGTTAACTGTAATAGCACTGACATACATGAGTTTTCAAACATAATACTGACGTACCACTCATGATTGGATGCCATGAATGGATTTTAAAAACTGGTTTTAGGTCCCAAGCTATTTCTGCAAAAATATTATAAAATAATGTATCAGGTAGCAGGCAATATATTTTAGACTCATTAACCACTTTAGACGTTCTGTTCCTATGACCACCAGTGTGACTCGGTATGTTTCCCTAAAACAGAGAATTTCACATCAATCCACTCTGAATAAGTTGTTAGAATTCCCCTCATATGATCAGAGACATGAGCTAATTAATGCCAGTTTTTATTTTCATTGACTTTAAGATCACCATCAAAAGTCAGTTAAACATCATGATAAGGACGCATACTTGCTGCTCTTTTTTTAGCTGTTCCATGGCCAGCTGAAACTCTTTTTCTTTCTGCCATGCCTCAGCGATAGTAGCCTGGTTCTGCTCCTCGTAGGCCATGGCCACAACCGCCAGGATCAAATTCACCAGATAGAATGAGCCCAGGAAGATCACCACCACGAAGAACACCATGTATGTCTTCCCCGCAGACCGCAGAGTCTGGTGGAAAAAACGGTGGTGTGAGATGAAATGGCCAGACCAATTTAGATAATAATATTATGTTTTCCTTGCTGCTTGTGTACGCTTGGGAATCTCTTCATTAGCCTACTGTCTAGCCGTATCTCCTAACACTCCATATGGCCAGAGGGAGGACAGCCAGACAATTCCATCTAGCTAATTTATCCTTGAAAGTGGTGTAGTAGGTACTGAGTTCACAGGCACACTGCGAATGATATTTTAAGCTAAGCAGATTTCCTGAACAAATTTCCTTTTTTCTGTATTTCAGAAATGTTTAAAAGACATATTTATGAAATGTAGACATTTAATTCCCTTTAAACTCTTAGTAAAAGATATTACATCCAATTTCAATATTCAACTAAATAGTGGTACTGCTATTTATTAAGATATGATATGCTTTTAACATGAAGAGAGAAATATAATTTTATACTTTTTTATAGTGATGCACCGATATGGGAATTACAGGCCTATACCGAGATATTGTTTTTCATGTACATATCTGCTGATGCCAATGCTGATACATGCAGAGCCCTGCTGGTGACATCCCATATGCGTAAAAATAATGTGTGGCCACAACTTAGTAAGGCATGGGAACTAGAAAATTAAGCTGTGGCCACAACTTAGTAAGGTGTGGAGACAGGTTCCTAATGCGTGGCCATGTCTTAGTAAGGAATGGGATGATCAAGCCTTGACCACAGCTTAATAAGGCATAATCTCATTCCCACAACTTATTAAGTCATGGCCACACATTAGGATCTCGTTCCCACTTGTTAATCTGGCTTGGCCAATTTCATATATATTTTTATGCAAACGTCTGCAGATACTGATATGATTGTGATGTTATCATGCATCACTGTGTTTCTGTGCCCATGTTTACTATGTAAATATTCTGTCATAAACTTTAAGGATAGAGCTTATTCAGATCATCAGTAAATTATATTGCTGGGTCTTTCATTACATGTTCTATACTAAACACCCTCCTTATTCTGTTTACTGCAACTAAGAAATACTAAAATAGCTAAAACAACTATCAAATAGCTGAAAATGAGAACAGGTCAGAAGAACAATCATGGGCAAGTTTTTCTAAAAAACGATAAGAACAGATTTTTGCTTGTATTACATCCATATAAAAACCCTGAAAAAACCCTAAAAACCCTAAAATGCTACTTTTCAAGATTTAATGTACTCTAGAAGTCATTATTTATTAGACAGACAGTGATGCCGACCTGATGGTAGAGGTTTTCCCAATAATCTTGTGTCATGAGCCTGAAGAGTGAGAGAAAAGCCCAGCCGAAGGTGTCAAAGCTAGTGTAGCCATAGTTTGGATTGCGTCCTATCTTCATACATTCAAAACCATCTGGACATTTCCTGCAGAAAAAGAAGAATCAATCATCATTCTAAAACTCTGGATTTCACTTCAGTTCAGAGTTGACCATTAGAAGCAATCAATATCACAAAGACAAAAGGCATGATGTAATTTCACATCATTATTTTTTCACTCATACTGTAGCTTATTGAAACAAGTAATCTCTGTTAAAAGTGCTTGATTCATTATGTCTGCTAAATGATTATCCAGATCTTCAGTTTTCCCTCACTTAGCGCAAAATGCTATTGGCAGAGTTTACAGCAACCAAAAATAAACTTTTTATTTTTGTCTTACTTTTTTGGGTCACCTCACAGCTTTCACTTATAAAGTTAGGTATATCCAGTTTTCAGAAACATATGTTAGGCATGGAATCTTACAGCCAAGCTCAACAAAGCAAAGCAGTCAACTTGGAGAATTTATGTGGCTCAATTCCTGAGCTTTATTTCTTAACTGTACAATAATTATCTTTGTGTTGATTCTTTAGTTTTTACATCCAACCTACTGCATGTAACCATCCTGTTGACCTCTCTACCCCCACCTTTTTCAGAAATGCAATAAAAACATGATCACAAAAAAGTGCTTGATTACATTTTTTTAGGTTTTTATGTGCTTGTAAGTAGAATATCTGTTATATAATGATTTGAATTTGACAGGGATATTGTTGAGTATGCAGTCTTGTTTGGCTGAACTTGTTTTCTTGTTGTTTGTTGACCTCAATAAATTCAGACCTGAATCAGTCAACACAGAATGTAAAGTGAATGTACAGTCATGGGAAGAAGTATGTACACCTGACAAAATGTTACTCCTTTTTTGACATATGTATCAGTATTTGATCTTGAATTAAACAGTGGGTATATATAAACCTAATGTAATAGAACAAAAACAATGGAAATTTGACTTTGCAATCATTTATTTAAAAAAACAATTAACGGAGATTATGTTTGTCTGTTGAAAAAGTAAGTACACCCCTGGCTTCAGTAACTGCTACTGCCCCTTTTGGCAGAAACAACTTTATGTATTTTCCTATAACTGTCTACAGGTTTCTGATATCTGCTGGGAGATTTGTTAGCCCACTCCTTCACGCTGAATTATTTCAACTCAGTGTTTGAGGGTTTTCTTGCATGTACAGCCATTTTCAAATCCACCCACAGCATTTCAATGGGATTCAGATCTGGGCTTTGACCAGGCCATTTTATAACCCTCCATTTCTTCCTTTTGAGACATTCCTTGGATTTACTTGTATGTATGGGATCATTACCCTGTTGGAAAGTCCACTTCTTCAGCTTCATCATTTTACAGATTCTCCTGAAGCACTCTCTGGTATAAAAGAGAATTCATAGTCGATTCTATGATTGAGGTTTGGCCAGGCCCTGAGGCAGCAAACCAGCCCCAAACCAGAACATTTCCACTACCATGCATTGCAGTTGGTATGAGGTTTTTCTGATCAAATGATCTCTTCAGTTTTCACCAAACATGGCTTCTAGTACAGTGGCCAAACAACTCTATCTTTAACTCGTCTGTCCAGAGCACATTGTTCCAGAAGTCCTGGTCCTTGCCTACATATTCATTAGCAAACTTTTGTTTTGCCCTGTTGTTCTTTTTAGACAACAAAGTCTTCCCCCGGTGCACCTCCCATGTAGTTATCTGCAGTTATTTTACTAATAGTAGATGCATGCACTTTTACATCAACAGTGACAAAAGCTGCCTGCAGATCCTGTGATGAAATTTTGGGTTCTTAGAAACTTCTTTTAGCATTTTATGGTCTGCTTTTCCAGTTAAACTTGCCGGGGTGGCCTGACCTGGAGAAGTTGGCAGTGGTTTTAAATCTTTTCCACTTGTAGATGATCTTCCTGACAGTGTAAGGATTGATATCTTCTTATACCCCTTCCCACACTCAGAGGCATCTACAACTTTCTTTCTGAAGGCCTCAGAGAGCTCCTTTGATCTAGCTATGATGATACAACACACACCAATAACAAAGGGCAAAACAGACCAGATATCTAGGTTTAAGTAAGACAAGTTCCTCCAAGAGATTCTCGAAAGGTGTTCCAATAATTACTACCTAATCGTGTGCACCTGTTTTCAATTTGACATGTTTGAAATAGTGATAAATGTAAGGTGTATTCACTTTTTCCACATAAGAAAATTGCATTACTTCAATTATATAAACGACGACAAGTGACACTTGTTAAATTATGTCACCTTTATCTTTTAACACTGTTTAAATGAAGACTTGATATCTGTATCTCTAAATATGTTGAAAAAGTCTAAACTTTTCATGGAGTGTACATGACTGTATATGTCATTAATTATGTAACTGACTATGTAATAGTATAGCAAAACAACAGAACCCGACTTCTAAAGGTTAAGAAGGTGATTTAAACTGTACAACTTTATTATACACTTGACACAATCACTCCATCATACTGCCCCAATACGTAATATGTCCGCAGGGGGCTCCGACATGAAGATCAAAGGTGAACGACCTCTCACACCTTGAGCTGTCACGGGTCACCTGATGAGGCGATGGACTGTCAGCATGGGTGAGCTGAGAGGCCAGTGGCGCCTCACAGGCCTGTGCCCATTGCTGTTCCCCGACGTCCAGCCCCCTCCTCTCCCATCTTCCAGCAGCCTTGCTGTCCTCGGGGCAGCGGCGTCTGGTGCCAGGCTGCTGAGAGTGTGAGGGTGTGTGGAGATGGGCGCTATCACTCTCAGACACCTCGCTGTGGAGGACGTGCTAATGGACGGGCCCCACTTCAGCTCGAGTTGAACAGGGGGCCTTGTACCCCACCGCACTGATATCGCCCCCCGTTTCCCCTTCTCACACAAGGAAGAACGCAAACATGTGCTATCAAAGCAATGCTCCCCTGATTGGAACTATTTACAGTATCACAGTCTGGCATTTATGGCCTTACGAACGCTCTCGAAAGTCAAGGCACAGTTCAAGCTGAGTAGTCCAAAGATATTACTTTATGTTTCTATACTACTCAAATGTATTTTAGTCATTCTTAATATTTGACTCATAAGAATCACACAGACAAACAATATATATATATATATGTATGTATATATATATGTATGTATATATATATATATATATATGTATGTATATATATATATATATATATATATGATTTAGGTCTACTGGAGCTCTACATGATACAGCAAAAAATTTGAGGAGTATGTTTAAAGTTTATGCTAATTATCATTACCTCAATGTGTCCAACGTGTGTCTCATTTGTTCCCTCATTAATTTTTAATTTGAAAAAAAAAAATAAAATTTTACAGGGCCATTTTTCTAACTCTTCTTATCCCTTAGAATTAAAAATGCTGTTCTTGTTTCTGTGCCTTTAAGACTGATATATGTAAATGAGCTCTGTTCTGATCGGCTGCCCTGTATTGTGCCTCATTCAAAAAGCACTTAAAGCTAAAACTCACCTTAGAACTCAAACTTGATTGGGTGGAGTTAAAAACATGTAAACTGAACAGGCAAATCTATGTAAATGGATTGGTTTTCGTGACATCACAAAAACAATGATTTCAAAACAGGCTGTTTTTGCAGGATAGTTTCCATATATAGACCATGCATTCTGGGTATGAATAGTCCTTTAAATGTAAGGATGTAAACCAAAACATGTTACATGGTGCAAGTGTTAGGAAAAACCTCAGTGACTGTTAAACACTGTAGTCATGATTTAAAACTGAAAAATATGATAATTTGTAAAATATATGTTTTAAAAATCTTAGACAACAGTACACATATCGTGACAAGATTCTGGGAAAAAAAAAAAAAAAACATTATTTAAATATCAAACCTGACTGTTGTAGTAATGAAAATTTGGTCATTTAACTTTGAGAATATTACTAATATCAGTGTAATCAAGACGTCATTGTTTGTAAAGAAAACATAAATTTTTTCAAGTTAGGTCCTGTTATTTGTCATATTTGTCATATGGAGAATAGCCCAATTACATAATCACATAGTTAATTACATAGCGAGCTACGTAATGTATTACATAAACATTCTGTATTGTCATGTTCCAGTCTGTGCTTCTTTTCTGTTTGTTTTTCATTTGTGGCAACAATGTGAAGGATGCTTTTTCTTTCTGCAACACAAGACTGCATTCAAGACTAATTCACAAAAAATATCTCGGCTTGTATGTACAAACATGAATGTAGCATTGATTGAAAGATTGGAATCTGTACGCTCTCCTCGTTTTCATGAGCTACAATTAAGAAATAATAAATATCAAATTTCACTTTTGTTATTGCTGGCCATACCTGAAACTTCTCAGAGTTAAGTAGTATATTTTTACCAATCCCATTAAAATCCTTATTTTCTCTCTCCCTCCACTTTTTTCCAGGAAACATCCCATGATTCATGTTGATTTGCAATATAAGAACCTGATACACCGGAAAATCCCTACATCCATGCCATTAGATTTTACCAATACCTGGCATACCACCATCATTTGCATTAGTAGACTATCAACACTATTTGCATCGATAATGCAGCAGACAAACAGTTATTTCAATCGATACCGTTCTGAGACACAATAGAACGGCATCCTAATGCCGTTGTCATTTAGGAGTGATACGAACCCTAGCATGGAGTCACTTGGAGAATCTGTCAAAGAAAGTGCTCTCACTCAGCGGAATGGCAGCTGGGACCATATCGCTGAAGCACAAGGCATTCAAACATAGGCTATTTTAGGAGTCAGCGAGTACCTCTGTCCTGCTGGGGTCCAGAGAATGGGAAGGAGGCAAAGACAAAGCCAGGGTGATGGACTCTGGGAATTTGTGTTCAGTGCTCCTGCATGTAAACCAATACACTCTCGCTCACTATTGTTTCCGTATGGCTGACTTTTTTCAATGCTTGTTATGTCAGAAGAGCGTGTTGATACGTGCCAAGATGTACTACAGGTCACTTCCGATGGATTGCAGCCACACATGTCAGGATGCTTTGAGCTTGGATCAAATAACCACACTGATCGACATGATT